GCACGTTATTTTGTTTCATTTATTATATACTCTGTTCTTAAATAACGTGAGTTAGAAATGGATCCTGCACGGTTCTCGGGTATTGTGACTGTTGAAGATCAAAGGTCATACATTAAGATCGAAACTTTACGTGGAAAAAATCCGTCAGAAATCCACAGTGCTTTAAGTGAAGTTTGTGGCGAGTTAACAGTGGACCTTAGTACAGTTTTTCGCTGGGCTAGTCCTTTTCATGGTGGTCGTGCGAGCATAAACGATGATCCAAGGCCAGGAAGACCGAACACATCAACAGATGACAGAAGTGTGAAACTTCTGTCAGATGCTCATGAAGAAGAGCGCCATGCGACATGTGAGGAACTTTCTGAAACCACGGGGATTCGAACAACGCCAATATTCCGAATTCTGACAAATGATTTAAAGAAGAGAAAGATTTCTGCGCGATGGGTCCCTCACTGCTTGACTGCTGAACAGAAGCAGAAATGCCTCGACATTGCAACCTTGCTGAAACAAAGATTCGACGTTGAAGGTCAAGCATTTTTGTATCGACTTGTCGCTATTGATGAAACATGGGTTAGAGACTTTGAATCAGAGCTGGAATCACAGTCCAATGAGTGGAGAGGTCCATCTTCCCCACGACAAAAAAATTTCGATGATCTCAATCAAAGGTCAAACAAATGATGATCTTTGCTTATGATCACCAAGGAATCATCATGACAGACAGAGTTCCGTGCGGGAAAAGTATCACAGCAGTTTATTATCATGACTTTATGCAAAATCTGCGCAGAAAAATGCACAAAAACCGACCTCAGTTTTTTGAGGTGGGCCCAATCATTCTTGATGACAACGCTCGCCCGCACATCGGGAATGTCGTAACAGAAAAGCTGTGCCAATGCGGTTGGGAGGTGTTGCCTCATGCTCCCTACAGCCTGGACATGAGTCCACCAGACTTCGACTTATTCCCAAAGTTGAAACAACCCATGCGAGGCCGTTNTCAGAGCTGGAATCACAGTCCAATGAGTGGAGAGGTCCATCTTCCCCACGACAAAAAAATTTCGATGATCTCAATCAAAGGTCAAACAAATGATGATCTTTGCTTATGATCACCAAGGAATCATCATGACAGACAGAGTTCCGTGCGGGAAAAGTATCACAGCAGTTTATTATCATGACTTTATGCAAAATCTGCGCAGAAAAATGCACAAAAACCGACCTCAGTTTTTTGAGGTGGGCCCAATCATTCTTGATGACAACGCTCGCCCGCACATCGGGAATGTCGTAACAGAAAAGCTGTGCCAATGCGGTTGGGAGGTGTTGCCTCATGCTCCCTACAGCCTGGACATGAGTCCACCAGACTTCGACTTATTCCCAAAGTTGAAACAACCCATGCGAGGCCGTTGTTTTCCCTCTCTGGAAGAGCTTTCTGCTGCAGTTACCCGAGCCATTCGACAGATAAACAAAGAAGGTGTCCAGGATAGAATAGTAAAGCTTCCCACATGTTGGGACTCAGTCATTGAGAAGCAGGGGGACTATATTGAAGGACTCTTTAAAGAGATATAAAAAAAATAAACATGGATGTAAACAAAAAATTGTGTGCATTATTTCTGAAATGACCTACCATTTATAGCACTGATATGTACTAGATTTATAGAAGTGGTTAATGTGCAACAAATTCTGAAAGTATTAGAATCTTTCTTTCATTCTCCTTTGTGTATCACATGCACATGTACGCTTTAATAAACACTCTAAAATATCTAATAGTATAATGCCCAAAATTTTAAAGAATAATGTATGTTTTTACACACCTGTTACTTGTTAATGCATGAATTTCTGCATGCAGCTGTGTATGTGCATGTACACACAAATTCATATAGAGATGTACATTTTTTCATCATTCAACTTTCAGATGTTTGTTTTTAACCAAGTATCAAAAATACGAAGAGAAATGTAATTCTAATTGAATTCTCTTGGGAATTCTTCATGATATGTTTGATAAGAAAAGTGAAAGGTACTGGCAATGAAAACTCCTTGTTTAAGCGAATTATAAATTGGAAATACATCAGATAAATATAGAGTATATATGCAACATTTTCATGTTTTCTAAAAATACATTTGCTGATACCCTTGGGTGTGGTTTAGCTACAAGGTTGAAGTATGTATATGAACTGTTTGACAGTATATATACTCGACAAAGTGAAATAGAACACTGGTTACCTGTATTCTGCTATCATTCATATGCATTTTGATTAATTATGAAGTGTCTTAGGATATTCCAAATTGAAGTAGAACATTCAACATTACTCCTTCCTAAATGAATCATAACCTATTCTTAAATCTATAAGTAGCTGATGGAGTGGCCCATTACATTATTGTCTTTCATAGCATTTGGAAGATGAGATATTAAGAAATATGGGAATTGGAATGAAGAATGAGGCAGAAATGCTCAACAAATGACCCAACCCCTCAACTGTAAGGTGACGATTAGTAACGTAAATGATTTAATCAGCAATTCATTTAGTATGATGAAGTTTGATTGCTGATCGCAGTAATTTCATTTTTGAATGGTATCAACAGTGCCATGTGGATAGTAGATAACATGGAGTTGTTAAGATTCCTCGGAGGTTATTACAGTCACATACTTTTCCTATTTTGTGATTTGGAGCAATAATATGTTGTTTTCATTGCTTTGGCATTTCTTTATTATTTCAACTGAAGACTTTAAAGAAAGCTATGGTCTTCTTATTTGTAGTTTTCTATAATTTGGAGAGACCCTGTCATTAGGGAGGAACATGTCACCTTCATCTGTGGGGTTGAAGAGTAAGCAAGAAACCAGCAAAAGCAGGAACCAAGTTGAACTTGCCACTTTCTTCCTGCTTTGCTCACAGTGTTGGGCTGCCTCCAGACTAGATGGTGATATAAGCCAGAAACCTGTAGTCTTCATAGTCAACACCATCAGAACCTCAAATCCAGCATGGAGACTTTTTAAGATTTTAAGTCTCTGAATGTAGGTTCCTGCTACTTGGATTAGTTGAACTACAATTACAATAATGGATGTTTATAATGTTTAGCATGTGAGGCTGTGGTTGCAGCTTTGTTGAAAATTGGTTCTTAGTCAGTATGTATCTCACAGAATTGGCATCTGCAAGAATATTTATTAGCTTAATGAAGTATATAATTTCCACCAGAAATACTGGGGTTTTGGACTTTTTCTTTTGCCTGGTATTCTGAAAACTAAAAAGCACAACATTTCTGAAAGTACATCTTCAGAACTCTTTGGAATATAATTTCTGCCAGTTGACATCACTGTAAGAATCTCCCAGCAGATCATCATTTATCCCACATTAAATTCTTTTAAGAACTTGTAGATATCTCTGATGTATTTAGTTTTACAGTCTGTTTCCATCCCATTGACTTTGTCTTTTAGATGTCCCTGCATTACAGGTCTTGTTTTCAATATTTTTCAGTGTTGCAGGACATTGATTTCTTTCTGGAAGAAAATTGTCAGTGTTTCCTTCACACGTTTCGACAAAGTGCGTGGAGTTCAGCCATTGCCATTGAATCAGTCGAATTATTTTATAGTATCAGTGCATTTTGACATTCTCTCTGAATCAGTTTTTGATAAGGTAATTAATGCTTGCCTTTTGTTGTATTCCACAAACTGTTGATGTAAATAAGTGGTAGCTATTTAACAGTTATTAAGCTACAAAAAATTTCTCACCAGGGTGCCTGGCCTGTAGTCATTTTGAAATATGTACAACTCTCTAGCACCCAGGCAGCAGATAATTGCACACCACTAGTTTAACATGTGAGCTGCTTTTCTCAAAATTTATATTAGTAAATATTCATTTTCTGCCCATTACCTGTTGCATCATCTCACCAAGGCAAGTTGGAGTTAGAGCAAAATAATTTTGTAATTGCATTTATTTGTAAATTGTCAACTGATTGACTGAAATGAATTATTCAGTACACGTGGTATAAGCATTTAATATATTAAAACTGCATACACTTTGCATTGTCCTGAAATTAAAATTCTGTAGCACTACATTTCTGTTTTAGCTTGTGGGCCAGATCATATCCCATTCATTTCAGTTTACTGACATTTTATGTTACTTTGCTGCTGTGAAAATTATACACAAATATCAGGTTGGAATTATGAAATAGATTTCAGGAATATGTTTCAGTGGTTTGAGAACATACAGAATATTCTTGTCTCTTTGGCATCTTGATCTGCAAGTCATTGGAGGTTTGAATGTCTTGTTTGTGAAGTTTTATGGTTCTTGTAGGAAATATTTTTCACCTTCTAGCCCAGAATTTCAGTTACTTGCTGGTTTGTTACAGATTTCTGAAATGGACAGTTGCGAGACACAAAGTTAACCATGTACATCACTAAAATTAATTGTAAAACTTATTATTATTTTGTGTATGTGGTCAGAAATGACTAATGGCAGTAATAGTTTTAAAATTTCAGTGTTTGACTCTCTTTTTGGAAAGGTTGCATATATGTGATCTAGCTTTTTCCCAACAGCTGTTCAGATTCAGTTTGTCCTCTGACTTCAAAGATTGCAGAGTGTATTGAAAATGTTTTACATTTATCTCTATCTTAAACTAACAAGGTTTATGTTATTTTTGTATGTTCATATTGGTGCTTCAGAAAATTTATCATACCTTTGCAATGTCGTTATTTGTCTATACTGTTTTTCTTTAAAGACTCACTGTTATCGATAGTATTATTCACAAATTAATTTAGCACACAAATGTTACTCATTTGTTTTGGTGAACAGCTAGTATGACATGTGTTTAATTGCAGTAAATGATATAATATTAACAAGTAACAATAATTTTGATGATGAAATGTTAAGATGTCTGTAAGATTAAGCATTTGATGACAAATATTTTGCTCTATTCCTTGCGATCTTTCTGAAAGGAATGTAATTGGTCAAAGAGTGATTGGTAATTAAAATTGGTACCATACACTGATTACCTCTTGTTTTTTCTATCTTCCCCAGGTGAAGGCGGAGAGTTTGTAGGTTGGCAAGGTAGGCAAAGCCCAACAGTTTCTACATCTCTCTCCTTGCCATGGGGCTGGGCTCACCAATTTAGTTTCTCTCTGTCTGGTGTGTCTTGTAAGACTATCCTTTGTCTTGCCTTCTTGCTGTGTGTCTGGAAGCCACTCATGCTTTGTTTGTAGATGAAATTATGGCTCAACATGAATTTAAATGTTAAAAATTGCACAAATTATTATTTCACTGAAAATGGCTTGTTGAATGCTTTAGTAGTCTTGCTTTTGTAACAGCAAAGTTAGATTTGTATGTTGATAGAGCTTTCAATTTACCAATTTATGGAGTCAAGTTAAATATACTATTGTGCAAGCTGCAAAGATGGTATGGGTATTGAAGCCTACTTGTCTGTTGAATGGAATGACCATTTAAAGTGACAGTTGTAATCTTCTATTAGTTTGAACAGTTTTCACCTTGGTGGGACAATACTGATCATTATGAATGTTTTTTTTTTGTGAGGTGGGGATGTGTAGAATTGCACATTAATATTCCTTTGGTTTATTACTCACTGAGTTAGTAGCCATATTTTGTTAATTAGTTATCTTAAAATAATTAATTTAAAGAGGGAATAGCTGTCAGTTATGATACTGTGCCTGTGCTGTAGGATTGACATTCAAAACCTGCCTGGCCATCAGTATTCTTTCTTGGTGTCATATTGTGAAATGTTTCATTCCATCATGCTATCACAACCTAACCTTCTAATGACTGTGCCATTAAGAGATATGTCTTTGCAAGTGTGGCAGGATTTTCAAAACAATAGAATGAAGCACTTGCATGAGAACCCCAGAAGAGTACATTGGAGCACTGAGATGACTGCTATTATTCATAGTAATAATAAACTCACTGGCTAGCAAAGTAGCCTCAAGTAGCCTTGTGGCCTAATTTTGGAACAGTAAATGTTCACCAAATGAATTTGAATTCATGTCTGTTGCTATGCTGGATTTCTTCTGGTGCTTTCTCATGATCTTAGACATTAATGATGTTTTCTCCAAAAGAAATCAGACACGATTAGATTGAAATTAAAAAAATGAATATTTGATCCACTTCTTAATTTTCTCTGATAATGAATCAATTTATTAATGAGAATAATGATACTGTCAAGTGTGGGATGGCCTTATCAGCATGTCCGGAACTTTACACAGAGTAATATTGTTTGGATTATGTCTTAATAAGACTAGCTAGATAACTTCTGAGAGCTTCATGTACTTGATCTCAAAGTCTCCAAATTAGTAATTTCGCTGAGTGATATCTGATACTGTTTCCTAATTTGTCTGGCTGGATGGGTGATGGGTTCGTTTGTTTTTTTCTTCAGTTTATTGGTCTAATGGTTTTATCAATGTAGATATAAATGATAATCTACATTGTGGATTTTGTACCGATATCTAAAATATGTTCATACAAAATCTTAAAATTATTTATATATTGGATTCGTTGTACGTGCATGACAGGAGAAAGCATACCTGTGCTTAAGACGCCCTTCATTGCTGAGTTTTCTTTGTAAACAAAGTTTTATATTTTTAGTGTAGTTCCATGGAAATATATGAATTCAGTTTGTGTAAAGCTGCATCGTTTAAAATGGCAATAAGAGATATCATTGGTGGTGCCTGGCATAAATGAACTTACCAGATGAACATATTGAAAATTGATATATTTCCAATTACAAAAGACAAGTCCGTCCAATGTGACTATTTCAGTTTTCTCACTTGATGATTCACTAGCCTTACATATTTCGATTCATTTGGATCATCTTCGGAGGCACCAAACACTGTTTAGAAACCACTATCACAACAGTTGTCATATCAAATACACATGTAATGTCCAAGTACACAATGTTCCGTCTGTCACTCACAGCGGCCTTTCTGGTTATAGAAATATTTAAAGTTGTTTTAAAGCCCACTGTGCTGTGGCCAAGAAATCATAACGGACAATATTAAGAATCTCCCTAATCAAGTTACATAGGAGACACAACATCGGCCACCTTGAAGAGAGATGACAGGGGTTATTGACACGAACCATATGGTTTATGTATTTTAATTTTTAAGAAAGTTTTTAAAACTTTAAAACAGCTTTAAATATTTCTATAACCAGAAAGGCCGCTGTGAGTGATAGACGGAACATTGTGTACTTGGACATTACATGTGTATTTTATATGACAACTGTTGTGATAGTGGTTTCTAAAAAGTGTTTGGTGCNCCCACTGTGCTGTGGCCAAGAAATCATAACGGACAATATTAAGAATCTCCCTAATCAAGTTACATAGGAGACACAACATCGGCCACCTTGAAGAGAGATGACAGGGGTTATTGACACGAACCATATGGTTTATGTATTTTAATTTTTAAGAAAGTTTTTAAAACTTTAAAACAGCTTTAAATATTTCTATAACCAGAAAGGCCGCTGTGAGTGATAGACGGAACATTGTGTACTTGGACATTACATGTGTATTTTATATGACAACTGTTGTGATAGTGGTTTCTAAAAAGTGTTTGGTGCCTCTGAAGATGATCCAAATGGATCGAAACATGTAAGGCTAGTGAATCATCAAGTGAGAAAACTGAAATAGTCACATTGGACGGACTTGTCTGTTGTAATTGTAACTGTTAGTGTGACGGACCAAAATGAAACAAATCAAATTTATATATTTCATTTGTAGCATTGAGAGGTTAATATAGAACTAGCAAATCTCACAGATATATTTAAGTATAAGAACAATGTTTAAGTTAATCTTTGTTCATTGATTATGTGTGGCATGGTAAATATGTGTTATTAAAATGAACTTTATAGGGTATCACTTATAGAAGAGTCACTTAAGTTGATTGTGAGGATCTTCTAATCAGAATTAATTGGCCTTCGCTAAAAACATTGTTTGACTTTCATTTTAGCTTAGGCGTGTGTTACATTGCGACTGTACAGGCACATTGCTTACTTAATCTCATTCTCTGAACTCAAAATAAGAAAAAGTGCTTTTGCTTCTTGCATTCTTTGTTGCAGGAAGGGCACAGGTGATAATTTATTGTTCTGACTTCTGCAATTTTGTGTAATGCTTCACAGTGTCATTTAAGTGATTAACACTGAATATAATGTACACATGCTATGCATCCTGTCTGTTACATAAGCATGGCATCAAATAAATTCATAAGAAGATGTGGCACTAGTTTCAGTATTGCATATTTTGTATGAATTAGTGAATGCTGGGACTCCCTGAATGACACTTGAGGTGTGTGGAGGCTGGGGAGGGTTTTGTAACTGGGAGCTTCATAATTTGTACTTCCTGCCAAATATTATTTGGATGATTAAATCAAGGAGGATAAGATGCGTTGGTCATGTAGCATATACGAGGGTTGGAACTTTAATAGTGGCAACAAGGGCTTAAGTCTGGGGAGTATGGTGGATGGTACAGCACTTCCCAGCCCCATTGATCGAACAAATCAGCCACAGCTTGCGCTGCCTGCAGACGAGCATTGTCCTGCAAAATGAAGGGTGGGATCTGCAGAAAGTGTCGCCGCTTCTTTCTCAAAGCTGGTCGCAGGTTGTGTTCAAAAATGAACAGTCATACCGCACATTGACGGTCTGCTGTCAGGGAACGGTATGCATTAGGATAACACCATCACAGTTGAACACAGGAATCACCATAACTTTCACACTGCTGGGGTTCTAACAGACTTTTGATTTTCGTGGTGACCCATAATGACACCATTCAATCGATTGGTGTTTCATTTGTGGCTCTTACGATTTGGCCCATATCTCATCCAGTGTAATGATACCGCGTAAGAAAGCCTCTCCTTCTCGCTCACAGCACTCCAAGTGGTTATAAACAGCATCATATCGTAGCTATTCCTGCATTTCTGTCAAATCATGCGGAACCCATCGTGATGCAATTTTTCTCATGCCCAGACGTTCCTTCAGAATGTGAATCACAGTCATATGCTCAAATACTGTCTCCTCTCGGGCCAGCTCATGAATCGTATGGCATCGATCTCTCTCCAGTAACGCGGTAAGAGCATACACTTCTTCACTGACACTAGGACAACCTACCCGACGCATGTTTGCCACATTTTGGTGTCCCTCGTTGAAGGCTTTTACGCACCTTGCCACTGTTCTGTAAGGCAATGCAGATTCCCTGGAAGCCTCTTGAAGACCTTAATGACACTGTTGTGCTGTACGGCTCCTGGCACATTCAATCTTTATCCAACTTCGTTGTTCCTGTTTCGAAAACATTGTGGCAAAACTAAATTAGACCGCCAGCTAACATGAGGCTCTGTTCTTCTTGTCACTGTGCATGCATGTGATGTGGGAAGGGAGAGTCAATTTGCCCTGAGGTAATGTAGGTATGTAACTAACGTGTGGTATAAGCGACATTATTTGGTTCCATTGCATGGCATCTCTACAGCTATGTTGCCACTATTAAAGTTCCAACCCTCATATGTGTGTGTGTGAAAAGAAATGTATAAACTTTTGGTTGTAAATGCTGAAGAAATGAGACTTCTTGGAAGACATGAGCATAGATGGGAAGATACTGTTAAAATTGAGCATAGAAATAGGGTGGGAGGGCATGAACTATGTTCATTTAGCTTAGAATATAGACCAGTTGCAGGTTTTTGTGAACATGGCAATGAAGGTTTTAATTCGGTATCATAAGGGGAATTTCTTGATTAGTTTGTCATGAAGGACTGCTCCACAAAGTTCATTTAGTTAGTATGTAAGTAAGTAAGTAGGTTGGTTGGTCGGTTGGTCGGTTGGTTGGTTGGTCACTTAGTCAGTCATTTAACATTCTGATGTTATACACATATGTGGGCCGCACCATAGCTCAACCGGTTAGTCGCTAGCTTCCCACCGCTGTGGCCCGGGTTCGATCCCAGGTCTGGTCAAGTGGAAGTTGTGGTGGACGAAGTGGTGCTGGGGCAGGTTTTCTGCGAGTACTGTGGTTTCCCCTGCCAATCTTCATTCCACCAATTGCCCCACAATCACCCTCACCTATC